TAGAAATAGGAAAACAATCCTAAAATTCATATGGAAGCACAAAAGACCCCAAATAGCCAAAGCAACAGGAGCAAAATAAGGTATGTAGATGACATAGTACCTGACTTCAAATTACACTACCTGCCCACAGTAAGAAAAACAGCATGATACTGGCACAAAAACAGACGTGTGAATCAATGTTATAGAACAGAGGACCCAGAAATAAACCCACACAGCTATATCCACCTGAGTCTCAACAAGTTGCCAAAAATATACATTGAAGAAAAGGCAATCTTTCTAACAAATAGTTTGGGAAACTGTTTATCCACATGTAAGGAGACTGAAACAAGATCCCTATACAAAATTCCCATACAAAAATTAATTGAAAATGAATCAGAGGCCTTATGTAAGACTGGAAACCATGAACCTACTATGGGAAAACATTTAAAGATATAAGCATAGCCAAGGATTTTCTGAATAGACCTCTAACACCTTATTAGACAGTAGCAAGAATTGACAAATGAGATTGCATTAAATTAAAAAGATTCTGCACAGCAAAGGAAACAATTACCAGAATGAAGAAAAAGTCTACAAAAATGGAAGAAAATTTCTACTGGTCATCCATTCATCTGACTGGGGATTAATATCCAGCATATATAAAGAACTCAAAAAATTTAAAAGAACAAATAGTGCAATAAATGAGCAAATGAATACATGAAAAATATGCATCATCATTAGCCATCAAGGAATGCAAATCAAAACTAAACTGAAATTCCATGTCACTCCATTCAGAATAGTTATTATCAAGAAAACAAACAAATGCTGGTAAGGATGCACATAAAAAGAAACCCTTTTACCCTGTTGATGGAATTGTAAATTATTCCAGCCACTATGGCAATCAGTATAGAGATTCTCTAAAACCTAAAACTAGAACTCCATATGATTCATCTGTACACCTTGGTATATAGCTGAAGGAATCTAAGTCAGCACACTCACATAGAGATACATGCACACACATAGAGATACATGCGCACACACAGAGATACATGCACACACACAGAGATATACACACACACACACACACAGATAGATACATGCACACCCATGTTTTTTGCAGCATTATTCAAAATAGCCAAACTATGGAATCAGCCTGGATTCCATCAACAGGTGAACAGATAAGGCAAATGTGGTATACAGACACAAAAGAGTTATAGGCAGTCATCCTGAAGAGTGAAATTATGCAATTTGCAGTAAAATGGATGGAACTGGAGATGATCTTGTCAATAAAAATAAGTCTGACTCAGAAAGACAAATATCACATATTGTCTCTCATATGTTGAATCTTGATTTAAAGTGAAAACAAAATTAAATTAGTAAGTGATTCTAAAGTCAGGAGCAAGACAAGGATGCTTGTTCTCATCAATTTAATTTAACATTATACTATATAAATATTCAGAAATGAATAATGCTTTAATATCTGTATGAAAATATTATAATAAACTTATTATTTTGTACAATTAAGATGTGATTATTTAAAAAGATATGTCATTTTTAAATGAATTGCATTCCATATAGGCCACAAAAAAAAAATGGAAAATAAAAACATCGCATATTTAATTCCCAGTTCCACAAAAAAGTACCATGTATTATGACCTCAAAATATGAAATATTTAAGGCTAATCAGACAAAATGTATAAAGATCACTAAAACTACATTGCTGAGAAAAAAATAAAGAGAACCCAAAGGAATGGAGGAGAACTGTACTCTACTCATGGGTCAATCAATATTGTTAAGATGTCAACTCTCCCAAATTGTTTTATAAATATGATGCGGTCCCTGAAATTCAGCATGCTTTGTAGAAATTGACAGACTTGTTCATGTGGAAATACAAAGCAAGAATAACTGAATAACTTTAAAAGAAAGAAGAAAAAGATTGAGGACTAGCATAACCTCATTTCAAAACTGTATAAAGCTATAGTAAACATGACTGCAAGCTATAGGAGCCAAGACAGACAAATAGTAAATGAAACAGCTAAGTAATCCAGAGATAAACCCATACATAAATAGTTCACTGATTTTCAACAATTTTACAAAGGCAATTCATTAAAGAAAGACAGACTTCAAAAAGTAGCTTTTGAAAGCTGAAACACAGCTCACACCTACAATCCCATGTACTTGGGAGGCAGACATACAAAAGTTGAGATTCAAGTCCTGCACAAGCAAAAAGCAAGACACCATCTCAACAAACAAGCTAGGTGTGGTGGATTACATCTGTAATCCCAGCTATGCTGGGTAGGAGGATTGATGTCCAAGTTCATCCTTGGGCAGAAGCTTGTCTTTAAATATCTAGAGCAAAAAGAGCTGGCAATATGGCTCAAGTGGTAGAGTGATTATCTCTTAAATGCAAGGCCCTGAATTCAAACCCTAGTGCTGCCAAAATTTTTTGCAAAGAAATAAACTTTGAACAATTATGCAGAAAGAAAGAAGTGGGATAGTAAAGAGAAGCAAGAGAACAAGAAAAACATTGACCCAAATCTTGTAGCAATACAAATATTAACTCAAAATCAGTCATAGACCTAAATATAAACCTACAACTATAAAACTTGAAGAAAAACCTTCATGTCCTTAAGTTAGGCAAAGATGACTAGACTATTAAAGAAAAATATGTGAAGAGATTCCATCAGAATTAATTCTGGAGGAGGCACCCCTAATTTAAAAATACAATAAACGTATGTGTGGAATACCCGGTGAAAACCCTTTGAACAATGAATACATGCTTAAAAACAAAGGACAGGGAGATAAAGCAGGTCCCGGTGGGAAGGGGGAGGGTGAATGGACAGGGTGAAGGAGGGTGAATATGGTCCATGTACTTCATATACTTATATGAAAATAGAACAATGAAACTCGTTGAAATTGCTTTAAGAAGGAGGGAAAAGGGAAAATGATGGAAGGGGTGACTCTAACCAAGATGCATTGTAAACACATATGTAAATGTCACAATAAAAACCCCTGTACAACTAATATATGCTAACAAAAATGCAAAAATTAGAATGATAACTTTTGCTGTCAGAAGATGTTATGACAATAAAAGGCAGACTACAATTTGAAAATTATTTGAAAGCATATACCTGATAACAGCCCTGTATTCTAAATATTTAGAACCCTCACAACTCAATAGTAAAAAAAACTTGATTTTTTTAAATGATAAAGGAATTGAGCTGATCTTTCACAAAGGAAGACATATGAGGGCAAATATGCAAACAAAATTTTTCAATATCCTCAGTCATTGCAAAAATACACTTTTCAACCATGATGGATACCACTAAAACATTTAAAATTCAAATACGTGTTGCACGTGGTTGGTGGTTGATGTGGGACGTAGAAAATTGGTGCACTGTTGGTGGGAGTGCACGAAGGTAAAACATCCCTGGAAAACAGTTCAGAAGCATCTCAAATGTTAACATCCCTACCACATGATCGGGATATTCCACTACTAAGTCTTTATCCATGAGAAACAAAAGCAAATACACATGTGGACACTTATTCAACTGTTACTAGTCATAGTGTCTGTAATACCCCACACTGGAAACACCCACATGGCTAGGAAAATCATGAACAAATTATTTTATACCTATATATTGTCCATGTGCATGTTTCTTAAAATAATTATAATGAAAGAAGGCAAATAAGAAAACAGCATATATTGCAAGACTACATTTATATAAAACTCCAGCATACAAAATACAAACTAATTATAGTAAAAAATGATCAACAGTGGAGTGAAGAGGGATGGGAGGAAGAACTAACAGGAGCAGGAGAAAACTTTTCAAACTGGTGGATATTCTTAACCTGGTTGTGGAGATATTTTCACTATGTGTATCTGTCAGAACATATCAAATTGTACCTTTTTAAACATTGCAGTTGAGTGTATTTCAATTATACTTGAAAATAACTGCTAGATAAAAGAAAAAAAATTTTTTCTTGACAAGTCTTCATTTGAAATAGTTGAATTGTACCATTACTTGAAAACACACAATAAGAACCATATTTTTTAGTGACTTTTTTGTTACTGTGTTTTGTTGTTAAATTTTTTCTTTTGGCAGTAGTCAGGCTTGAACTCAGGACTTTGTACTTGCTAGGTTGGTTGTTTTTTGCTCTGGTTATTTAGGAAACAGGGTCTAGCTTTTTGTCCAAATTGACCTGGACCCAGATCCTCCTTTTTTAAGCTTCTGCAGTTCCTGGGATGACAGGCATAAGCTACCACATTCAGTTTTTGTCTTTCTGGTGAGATGGAGTCTTGAAAACTTTTTGCCTGGGCTGGCATGGAACCATGACCCTTCTGATCTTAGCCTTTCACATAGTTTGGGACAGGAGGTGCATCATGCCCAGATATTGGTTACAAGAGGGTCTTGTAACCCCATTTGTTTTTTTTGTTGTTGTTGTTGTTTGCCCAGGGTTGGCCTTGGAGCCAACCCAAACTCAGCCCCCTAATTACCTAGGATTACAAACATGAGCCACTGTCACCAGGCTCCCAGTGGTATTAAAAGCATGAAGATATGCAGCTAGAGACAACTAAGTCCTCATTCTTTATGATGGTGGTCCTAGGCAGTTTGCTCATTTTCCACATGTGTGATTTTGATTAACAAATCAAAATAAACAAGTATTTAGGTATCTTGCTGAAAAATATTTTTCACTAGATAGGACAACACTCTTAATAATAACAACTGACAGTTACCATAACAGCTTTTGCACAGTAATTTCATGTTGAGTCTCCAAACACTTATTTCTTAATACTTCTAATATTTCTATGCATTATTTGGCAAACATTCATCTCCATTTTACTCATGTATAAATCAAACCCCTAACTATGATATGGTATGAATCCAGAGACTGTATACCTACTACCAGTCCATTTCTATTGGCTAGGAAGAAGGGAAATACATAATACATCAAGCATGAAATAGTGTGGCTACTCCAGTAATGAAATATTCCATAGGCACTTAGGTCTTATCTATTCCCACCTTTTTATATGCGATCCAGTCAAACACCCTGTCAATATCTGTTGCCTGGAGCACTTCCTGTGATACTGGATGGGAACTGGCCAAACCATCAAGCAGCATCACTTCATGCAGAACATCTGTCAGAAACCTCTGCTTTTCCTGCAACACAGTAGAGGGGATAATATCATAGGTGATCCATGGTTATGACAACATGAATAGAAAACGTCTCACTTAATTGATGATGCTCATCAGTCTTACATAGTAAAATTCAAATCCACAAAAAAACTCAACAAATAAATGCCTCCACCCCCAGAAACTAAAATAAAGGTGGTGGATTTGGGTAGAACATGAAACAAAGTCAAGTGAATACAATAGGCCCTAAATATTCAAACAGTGAATAAAGCAAATTTGTACAGTGGGCATATATGTAAATGATAAGATACAGTCTTGTTTATGCCTTCTACAGGGTCATGACTATAATTTCACTTCCAAATAATCTTTCTAGGTAAATTCAACATAAGAATACAATTTTTTTTTCCATTTAGACCATCTATTTCTAGTCTCATTAGAATACCTCTATCTCTGTATGTTCCTCCCTCCCATCACTCGCACTGTGTTGTGAATGAAATCCAGGCCACCACAAGCATAGAAAAGGCACTGTCGACTGAAACTATAATACCTGTGGATGTACATCTGAATTCAGAATAATGGACATAAATTCGAGATCAATAGGTATTAATAATCCATTATTATGAAGTAACAAAAACAAACACAATCATGAGACTTCTCTGCAGGTAGTATTTCCTCTAATAAAAGCAGATTTGCTATGTTAGAAATAAGCTGTAAAGAAAAGGTACTTCTCTGTTGTTATTGTTTAAAGAAAGTCTGTTTTAAGGAAACAGTTTGGGTTTTGTTAACAAAAATGCTGGCAGCTATTAGTCTTCCTGGCCTCCTGCCTTCATTGATGGAGGAGGGAGAGAAAAAAGAAGTTGGAAGAGATAACAAGGGCTAAATAGCCCCTAGATAGTTGAGACCTGAGGTATATCATTACAGAGATTAAAGACTCCAATGCTTAAATTGCTCTAGCTGATTCTGAACTCACTCCTAGAGCCTCCTAGTTTGGAGAGAGCAGATAAACAGCATGGTATTTCAGAGTGAGTTGTAATTTCAAGCTGAGAGTACACCAGTCTTGAACTTAAGGAAATGGAAATAAAGAATAAGTGTTCTGAGGAAGAATCCTGAGGATATATGCAAAATTTAAATTTTGCTTTTTTAAAAACAATTATGCTCATCTTCACTAGGTCAATGATATAGTATGTGTAGCTAATAATTAATTAGCCATCTGACTGTATTCTGCAAGGCTTATTTTCTAATAGATAAGTTTTCAATTGTCTGTGGTCATATATATAATTTATTTAGTTCTCTTGTGTCCTAAGAGTTTCATAGCACTAGTCAGTGTCCCATCAAAGAACATTACACAATAATGACTAAATCAAACCACACTCTGAGTCCAAAGGGCTACTCCAGATGCCACAAGGCTACAGGTGAAAAGTCAAACTCGGCCTGAATTAAATGATAAATATGACATAAACTAATTCTGCACTTCTTCTCAAATCAATTTCCTAATTCAGGAGAAATTAAAGAAAGGAAAAAATAGTTAAGGTGAATTTAAATTTTAAGCTTAAGAACATTGGTATCTACATTGCTCATTTTAGGTCCATGAAAAAGGGAAAATCACATGACAAAACAGAAATTGAAACTCTACTTTTAAGCAGATATGCAAACCCGTTACTCATTCAATTTTAAAATACACATTAAAACTCTCTGATGTTAGAGTTTATGAGAAATATATGAATAGTATAGTTATCCTTCAATTTGACCAATGACCACTTTGATTTCTAAAAAATACCAATTGAAGATAGAATTCCATTCAAAAGGTAAAGTAATACCCAGCTCTTCAAATAGTGACTGCCTATTCCATTTCAAGTCATTCATATATCTAATCTGAAACCACATGTAAATTAACTTAAAATGATTTACTTAAACTTTATTTTTTAATATTTAGCAATAATAAATATATATCAATCAATATTAAGGTTTAATCAACAGATCTCTGGCTTGCTAGAAATGTGACTTTTAAAACTGATAAAAAGTAAATTGCTATGTAATTTTAAAAGTGAAATTTCAAAGAATAAATTTTAATGTTAAAGGAAATATAAATTATATGATATATTGCTTCATGCTTCTGGAGGAAAACAAAGATAAATCTTTGCCTAGTTAATACAGTTTCAATAAGCAGTATTTAAATTTAGTAGGGATAAGTCATTAGTAAAAGATTTATCTTCTGTCATGTTGAGGTGAATGATATTAAGTAATGGGAAAAAAAGATTTATACACAAGAAGAGATTGAAGTTAGAGGGAGCCTCGCAGGAGCGCACTCACAAACCATAGAAGAGAAAGTACCATAAATGAAGGAGGAAAAAAGGAAATTGTAGTCAGACACAAACCCAGAACCAGAACTACAAAGAGCTTCTAGGAAATGAGGCACTAATTTTTTTATAAAGACTTGTGTCACAATAAAATAAGAAATGATCTGATCTGCAGGGGCTATTGCCCCCTTTGTCATCAAGATCAATAACAACAAAAAAATTTACTAAATATTGATTAATTGATTACCTGAGACTATGAAAGTTTAAAAATGACTAAGAGAAATCCTAGCTTTAATGTTAAGTAAGAGATAAAGCAAAATAGTTGGACAAAGTGAATGAGATAATAGTTTTGTCTTACAGACTACAAGGACCAAGAAGATTTTGAGAAAAACAGTATTACAAAACAGAAGTATTTATGGGCAGTTCATTGGAAGAGATAGAATCTGACCTCACTCTTGAAGGAACTTTAACATTTGGTGGCAAGTGTGTGTGTGTGTGTGTGTGTGTGTGTGTGTGTGACCAAGTGTACTCAGGAAATAATATATTTATGGTGAATATTCAGCAGTTAGTCTTATTTTTACTTTATATTTTAGGGTCTGTGAACCTCCACTTTTACAAAAGCAGCACAGATGCAGGGGTATCACAAGCTCAATGTCAAGGTCAGCCCTGGTAAAGTCAGGAAGTCAAAAACAATATTCAAATATCCAAAGGTTGGGATATGATGATGTCACTCTAGTGGCAGAGCACTTGCCTACTAAGTGCAGGGCCATTTCAATCCACAGAACCAAAAAACCCAAGCAAACAAAAAGAACAACAAAGCAAAAATGGAGAAATTCAAAATCTATTTTAAAAAAGTTCAATGTTAACAGCAATCGTAAACCCTAGCATCTTAAGGAGATGGTATTTAGAGTTGCTACATATGTGCCTTCATATTAATAGTTAAAATAATATCAAATACATCGTTTTGTTTTTGACTCTTTTCAAAAATACATTGCATTTGAACTTTTGAAAAACTATACAAGGCATTTCAGAACTGAAAGTATATGAAAACAAATACACAGAGTCAATAATGAACACCATTGAGACACTATTATTTATTCATTCATTTTAAAAATCTCTGCTGTATGCCAGATATTGTGCTGCATTTGGGGAATAAATAAATGACTAAATCCTAGTTCCTAATCTTAAGAACCCAAAAGTAGAAGAGAAAGGGGGTGCTGGGGGAGAGGAAGGGAGAAGTGGACAGCAGGGAGGAATGGCCCAAACAATGTATGCACATGTGAATAAATGAATAAAAACATTTTTAAAAAGAAAGACAAACAGCATATTGTATTATATGATATGACAGATGCTATCAAACACAGAGGGTTAAATGATTAGTTAGTTAAGAAAGGCTTCAGAGAGGAGGTGAATATTCAAAGTAGGTTGTTGAAGGATTAGAGGTTATGTAGATGAATAGTGAAAGCAGCTGAAAAGGCTTAATTTCATGAAAACTGGAGCCATTCTGTTTGAAACCTCCATTATCAGGTTGGAGAGTTTGGTCTTAATAAGCTGGCAGTAGCAGTCATAATAACATAACAAAAGTAGTGTCGAAGGAAAATTAACTTATTAGTCGTGCAGGATGGTTTGATGACGCAGAGCCAGGAGACAGGGGTGACTATTATACCAAGATGGTGCTGTGATGATGTATTAGAAGATGGTGTTGCATGAAGTTGGGGCTGAGATATTTTGAATGAAAAATCCACCACACTGATCCTTTGATATTTTGGTCCCCTGGCACAACAGAGAGAGAAATAACTATGGCTTTTAGAGTAGGTGAAATTTTTTAAAGATTGTCAAGGGGCTAATGACATAAAGGGGAAGGTAGGAAAAGTGCGGCTTGGAGGACAAGCTGGAAAGATCAGTTTTAGACACATTGCAAGGAAAGTGACAGTGAACATGCAAAAAGAGATGTGTTACAGGCAACTGAAACACATCTGAGTCTAAAAGGTAAGTACTAAAAATCTGTTTGTATAGAAATATAAATAATGTCTTGGAATTAACTCCTTTTAAAAACTAATTTTTATAATATTAGCATGGCATACATTGATATTTAGTAGTATATGTGAATGAAATTAAAAGAATTGTTACTGCAGCATTAAATATCACAGAAATTGTATTCCTTGGAGTCTCAAAATAGTTTCTGCTTGAACATGTCAGGTCTAAAGGGTTAAATTTGCATCTGGCTGGTCTAGGCGTGGTCATTGGTGAAAGAAGAAAATGTGAAAATGTGAGCAAGCTTCTACAGGAAGGGCAGCTAATTTCAGTGAAGAATGATATCAGGCAGATACTCTGACTCTGCCGCCAGAAAAATCAGAGAGTGATCTCTGAATCTAGATCAAAGAAAGATGCATCAAACCAGAGACAAGAAAGATGAGAGCCAAGACTGAACCAATTCAAGTAGTGAATTCATAAACATATATGGTTGTGAAGATTAAATAAGTGAATTAGTTCAACAAATGTACACTAAGGACCTCTATATTCCAAAATGCTATGCCTGATTCTAAGGATAGAGAAATACAAAGAGATATATCCTAAATTCAAAGACTTTATAGTAGTAGAAGGAGAGGCAAAGATGAAAGCAAAGATTAAAACACATTCTGTTATATGTAAAAATGAATGTAGATTCAAGATGTAGTGTGACTACACCAAGAAGGCTGTTGTTTGTTCTGCCTGAGGGAGGCAGGAGAA